TTTTTACATTGTCCTTGGTAGCAGCTCTCACTGTTTCAACAATCATTTATTAGAATATTATGTTGACAGATGTTTTTAAATATATGATAAAAGTATATTCGTGTCTTAAGGCAGACACTAACAATTTCTTTAGATAGAGTCTAAGTTTTTTTTCTTTTTTGCTAGGACTGGGGTTTGTTTCTTTTGTTGTTGTTGTTTTAATTGTAAGAGTGCTGGTTGTAGTAAGGGGCATTTGGCTTATGGGACTTACGGTCACCATTCAGTCCTTACTGGGAAACAACTAAGAAATCAAAGCCACCAAAAGAGCTTTGCTTCAACTCAGTGTTTTGGGGTTTTTTTGTTTGGTTGGTTTTGGCGGTAATGGGGTTTGAACTCAGGGCCTCATATTTGCTAGGCAGGCACTTTACCACTTGGGCCACTCCTCCAACCTTCCAACCTTCCATCCCTCCATTCAGTTCTTCCACCAAAACCAGCAATAAAACCTTAACACTTTACAGCTATATTTGATCTCTTTGAAGCTTCTGTCATAGCTAACCACCTTGCCAATTTACTTTTTCCAGAAATAATGTCTTTGCATCTGTCAGATGCTGTATTTTCCTGGTTTATTTTATTTTTGGGCAGTACTGGGGTTTTGAACTCCTTCAACTTTTTTTTGCTTGTTATTTTTGGATAGGGCCTTGCATTTTTGCCTAGACCAGCCTCAAACTGCAGTCCTCCTACCTATGCCACGCACATAGCAGGGTTTACAGATGTGAACCACCATACCTGACTTGTTTGAGATGGAGGTCTCACTTACGTTTTGCCCAGGCTGGTCTCCAACTGTGCTCTTCCTGATCTCTGCCTCCTAAATAGCTAGGATTATAGGAGTGCACCTTCTCTACTTCTTTGGCCATTTCTTTCTCCCTAGAAGCACAATTTTTTTTTTTTTTTGCTTTGCCCTTGTTTTCTGCAGGACTCTGAGCCCCTTTCTTATTATGCAGTAGAACCTGAGTCATTTCACCCACTCTGGGGTTTAAACTGTAAACTTCATCTTGAAAACCCCCAAATTTATACCTGGAATTATTTTATATCTTACTGGCTCCATAAATATCCATAACTGAATTCACATGCTACTTTTGCACACAGAAGTCCCTGCTCATTCCCTACTAGTTAACTCTATTCTACTCTCCACTCCTTGGCCACCTCTGTCATGTCTGCCCCCTGAACAGCTTTCACAAATACGCCTCTATTTCCCCTCCTTGATGAGCAGTGAGCACAGGGGTCCTCAAACTTCAACGTACACTATAGTAACTGGAGTGCTTATGAAGTGTGAATTACAGAAGCCCGGGAATGTAAAAAATTGGTATTTGTAACCAAAGTTACCCAGGTGACTCTGATTTGTATAGCCTCAGAGTACCTCACTGAACTGTAAACTCTGGAAGTAAAGGAAGGTACGTATTCTGAGTATATATCTAAGTATTATTATTGGTTGAACTACACAAAATTCTGTTTACCTGAGTACTTTTTGTCAACCAATAATGTTTTTTGATCAACTAATGGCTCAGTAAATATTTATCAAATGGTTGCATGAGTTCTATTCCACAAACACTGTGGTAAGTACAAGGCTGTGTTATTTCAGGTTTAGTTTATTCACTGTGTTACCTGGCCCATAAATAAGAAGACTTGTCATTGTCTTCTCTAGTCATTGTTCTGGATCTTTCTAGAGATTTTTCCCATGTCAGCTTCACGGTGCCCCATCAGGAAAGTTACTTTTTAGGCACTCACCCTCTTTCATCTCACAGGTGTGATCTTTTCTTAGGTTAAGAGTCAGTCCTCCTGCATTCTCATCTCTGGAACATATGCTTAGCCACCCACTTATTTCCGGCATGATAGAGATGCCATTTATGTCTCCCACCTCCTTTCCTTTCTGATACAGAATGCTTTATAGGTGGTTCCCATGTTTCCTGCCATTTTCAAACTGTGCAAGTTACAGATTGTGCAGTTACCAGGAATGAAAATATCAACAGGCCAGGATCTCATCTTATCCAGGGAAGTGTCCTAAGAATGTAAGAAGAGTTTCCAGTTAGCCATTGTAGGAAGTTATTTCCAAGCTTCCACTGAGGTGCTTTCCCCTGAAACTAATCTCAGGCCACCTGAAAAACCCGTGAGTACTTTCGGGGGTCATCCTAAGAGTCCAAGGGTGGTTCTTTACTAAGAAGCCTGGACTCGTCTCTGTTCTGAGAATGACTTTTTCCTGCTTGCTTTTTCTAAAAATGGTGCAACCTTTCATCCCTCTTGTGAGTTCTATTATTCCTATTGTGCATTTCCTACCTCACCTGATTTATTGTCTCCCCAAAAGAAAATGCTGCATTCATTTCATCTCCACATAATAGATGGAAAATAAAGGTTGAGATCATGGAAAATAAAAAGATTACTTTTATTGTAGGATTTTTTTGAGACTTTATGAGTATCTCATCTCAATTAACTTAAATGTTTATTTAAAAACAGCAGCTGCTCAACCAGGAACTGAGATCTTCAATCTGCCAGCAGTTACTACATCAGGTGAGATTCAAAATACATTTTTTACCAATATGAATTTGGTAGAGTAGTAGTCAACCCAGAAAATAAGTGCATTCCAAGGGACTGCTCTGGCATGCAGAAGTGAGTAATTTACTCAGAGAGTCAGTAGCACAGAATGGAATTCAGGTTCAGCAATATTGTTGAAAACATAAGTAAGCAAAGGGGCCAGGTACACTAGTTCACTTCTGCAATCCCAGCTATTCAGGAGGACTGCAGTTCAAGGACACCCCAGGCAAAAAGTGAGACCCTTTCCCCCCTCCCCCATCCTAACCAATAAGCTGTGTGTGCTGGTACTTGCCTATCACCTCAGTACACAGGAGGTGTAAATAATAGGATCACGGTCCAGGACTGCCTGAACAAAAACGCGAGACCTTATTCAAAAAAAGTAACTTAAAGCAAAAGGGGCTGAGGCCCTGAGTTCAAACCCCAGCACCCCTCTTCCCCAGAAGAATAATTTAACAGTTAATGAGTCACAGAAGTGGGGGTGGCTGATTCACCAGGGACACATATTTCCTGGCATCATTGGTGTATGAAGAGGGCTTCTGTATGGGCCCTCACTGGTCTCCCTTGCTACTTCTGGAGTACTGGGCGTATTCAGTGGGCTGGAGGGCCAGGCTGGATGTCGTCTGTTTATATGCACTGCACTCTCTTCCAGGCTCAGTTAGCTCTAGAAGCCATTCTTTTGCTGATCCTGCCAGTAATCTGGGTCTGGAAGACATTATCAGGAAGGCCCTCATGGGAAACTTTGATGACAAAGTTGAAGATCATGGAGTTGTCATACCCCAACCTGTGGGAGTATTGCCACAGGTAGTGCCTGGTAGTGCCAGCACCTCAGTTGTGACCAGCAGTGAGACACGGAGAGATGATGGGGACCCATCACCCCATTCGGGTAAATCTTTCATTTTAGCATTCTTCTGCCTTTCCCAAGAAATAGCTGATTTGATTGCCAAGTTCCAGTACATTACTGAGAGATTTCACTTTGTATGGGCTCAGAGTCACCTCTGTAATTTTAAAACACTTTAGCCTGCCCAGACATTATAGTAGCATGAGCAAAAATGGGGAGGCTAAGGTATGGAGGATCATAAGTCAAGGCCAGCTGGGGGAAATAGTTTGCAAGACCCCATCTTCAAAATAGAGCAAAATGGACTGGAGGTGTGGCTCAAGCAGTAGAGCACAAGCTCTGCAAGGGTGAAGCCCTAGGTTCAAACCTTAGTCTCACCAAAAAAAATTCTGTTGTTTACCTTGTGACGTTTTTATTTGCATTTAGTTCTTACCTGTACATTGTAATGGCAATACAAGTATTTCATATTTTTAATAAGGTAACTTGTAATAAAAATGATAGGCTTTGTATAATTGTAAACTACAGGAAATAGGGAAAAAAGCAGCAAATAAACACAATCCTTGATATCACAGCACTCAGAAAGCTAGTGCTACTGTGAAGCATCATTCCAGACAGATAAAAGTTAGTGGGGTCGTCATTTACATAATTAAAGCCAATTAGCTTCATTGATACTAATCTTTGAAGAACTGACATATCTCATACTTTTTAAAAGACTACCTGAAGGTCATCAATATTTCAGTTTTAGTTTAGGCTTATTTTCCTATTAACTTTAAGCAAAAGATAGGAGAAATGATGTGACAACCTGAGCTCTGAGGTCTTAAATGTTTTGTTGTAGAGTCCATTCATAGGTGTCTTACTCCTGTGTACTAATTAGAGCCTGAGAGAAAAAAATAAGGCCACTAAGACTTTCCCCAGACATGCTGCTTTCTTTAAGGGATATGCTAACTTAAATTGGAGGGCAGAGTAGATGATTGAAGGAAAAATTTTAATTTTGTTAACTTACAATCTTTAGCACAGCTTCTATACTCTTAAGGCCAGTAAAGCAGCTTTGATGTTTCAAAACTTTCATTTCCTTGGACACCACATTTTTAAGGTTATGTAACAAAGATGTGCCACCCTCTTTTTTGTTTTGCTTGCTACAGGTGAAATTCTTTTTTTCTTTTAAATATTATTCTTAATTAACTAGGATATGGATTCTTTTATCAGAATGTTAAGTTGAGGACTTAAATACTGTGTATCAGTAATTAATAATTTAACTTGAATTTCATTTTTAGGAGGAGTTTGCAAACCAAAGTTGATCAACAAATCAAACAGCAGGAAATCTAAATCTCCTATTCCTGGGCAAGGCTACTTAGGAAGTGAACGGCCCTCTTCAGTCTCCTCTGTACATTCAGAAGGGGATTATCACAGGCAGACACCAGGGTGGGCCTGGGAAGATAGGCCTTCTTCAACAGGTGAGGAGCCTTGTTTAATCAATAGAAAATGAGATTTAAATCAATCTGTATTGATGTTTTGCTATTTCTTCTTTTAACTATATTCCCATTTCTGTACCATTAAGAGGTTCCACTTTTTAGAGCAGAAATTGAATACATATAACCTCAAAGGTAATAATGCGAGGTGTGATTACCATAAACAACGGGAAAGCTATGAAAAAAAGTCTCAGTCATTTCCCTTCCTTCTATGTTATGCTTGTTGGCAACCAGCATTTGCTGCTTGTAAAGCAAGTAAGTCTAAAACTTCACTTCTTTTTGAGGTACCTCCTAAGGTGACTTACCTTTAGCCTTTTATATAGACATTCTTTTTTTAAAAAATGACATCATCTGTCTTATCTATAAATTCACATCTAAAAACAATACTCAAGGATGTTCCTTAATGTTTTTCCACTGTCTTTTTTCAGTTTCTTAGTCATAACTATGACAATGACCATATCTAAAAAGGAAGACTCTCTACTTGAGACACTCTACCAGCCCCCCAGACTTTTTTTTTTTTTTTCAATAAAACTAGGTATTTGCTATGGATTTCAGCATTTCAGACTTACATGCTGTCCTTTTCCTTAAGCATTTAATGCACACATAGATCATTCTGAAACATGCCCTCTTCAACACATAAAATTTTCATATATACCACCAGTATTTACCTCATAAAATGTGAAGTTGTCTGTTTGTTTAAAAAACAGCCTATGCCACTATTGCTGCTTCTTAATTATCTTTTAGGGAAGGAATTTTTATTATGTGTGAGATTACTTATTTGATGAAATGGTACCATTTGTGGTTTTCGTCTCTTAATTTGTAGAAGGCGTTGTAGAGAAAATGCTTCCCACTTCTAAATCTACCTAGTGAGATTCTGTAGATAACACATATCTTGCTGCCCCTCAGCCTTTTTGCGATTCCTGGGTATTTGTCCCCTTCTGAGAATTAATTTCTCTTGAGAGTCAAAGTTCTTGGTATAACCAGTCTCTCAATTACAGCTTCATACTCAAGTTCCACTTGGATTCTGATACGTCCACCCCTGGGCTTAGCAATTTGCTCATATTATTTTTTCTTTTTAGACTCTCAAGCCCCCCATTTTAGAATTATTCCGTCGTAAAAGGTTGGATTGGATGCAAAAGCAAGTATGCTCATGACACTTTTTTTTTTTTTTTTTTGGTCAGGCTCCACTCAGTTTCCTTATAACCCCCTAACCATGCGGATGCTCAGCAGTACACCACCAACCCCAATTGCATGTGCTCCATCTGCTGTGAACCAAGCGACTCCTCACCAACAGAACCGGATTTGGGAGCGGGAGCCTGCTCCACTCCTTTCTGCCCAGTATGAGACACTGTCTGATAGCGATGACTAAACTGCACAGAGAAGGGAGCAGGAGCTCTATTTTATTTTTAATTGCAGGTCAAAAACCTGCCCTCCTATACTTGTGCCCGGAGACTTCTCAGGAGAGCCAGGGCCTCGGATGATGAAGAAATGATGGAAATTCATTTGGGAAGCCAAATGGGAAAAAAAACAAACTGTTTGATACAGGCAATTCAGTGAATAATAATAGTTGAGGGTTGAAATGTAGAGTTTTTAAAAAGTGGACGATTCCTGTTCTTACATCTGTTTGTAAAGAAAAGCATAATGTCTAAATGTTTAAATCACCCTTCTGTAAATAGATGACCTTTTTGCAGTGTATCCCCTTGCTGTAGTTATCTGCTGTACTTACGTTCAAATCAGCGCATCAATGTTGGGGGTAATTTTTAAAAATCTTTTTGTCTATCATCTTTTTAACCCTAGCCTTCTAAACAACCTCATACAGCCCAATTACAAAATATTGGCTGTCACGGGCATTGTACTTTTATCTGATTTTTGTTCCTTTAAATTTAGCTTCCCAGTGATGTTTAAAATCTTGTGAAATGTTTAGATTTTTAACACAGACCCTGTCATAAAATCTGGACATTAGGGTCAAAAGTTAGGAGCAACAAAATTCTGCCATATTGTGAATTTCCAGTGCAGGCTTTAATTTTTTTTTTTAAGTAGCACTGAAAAGATATTACTGCATGGGTATGTTACAGTTCAGTTTTTAAAGTTTTAAAGGCTTATTTGAGGCATACCTCACTGTGTTATGCACACTGGTAATTTAACCATGCCCCTAAGTATTCCTTTTCTTCTGCATTTGATGCAGCCCAACAAAGCTTTTGTTTTGAAATAAATTTGACTACCCTGTCCATAGCTATAGTAGATTTGTGATTTAAGGCTTTTATCTCAGGACTCAAAGGAAAAACTTACATACATATAATGATCTGTGTAGTTGTCTCAGTCTTTTAGACTTGCCTTGTGCTACATCCTGAACAAACCTCATGGTAACACAACAGTCCTTTTTGCTTCCTTAAGACAAGAGTTTATTGATGAATGTTATTTTAAGGATTCTCAAGGTGCAAATAGTTTAGAAGACTGAATTGTAAATATGGTACTGAAGGGTCAGGGCTTTATCCTTCATTAAGAATTGCTTGTTAAATTTTTCCATACAACCTAATAACAGCATTTAAGTGTGTGCATTATGGGAGGATGCTTAAGGGTTTGGGAAGAATGGCACCGATACCTGGAAAGGGGAGGAAAAGAGGTCTCTCAGGATAATGAATATTAGCACTTTACAGCCTTTCAGGTAGAGCTAAACTTTTAAACAAAAGTACACAAACCTTCTATGAAAACAGCTCTAAGATTAACCACTCTTGACTGAGACACAACTCCCTCCCCTCACACCTGGAGCCCTGGTGTTTAATCCTTGTTACTGCACAGACTCTGTACTTTGCACATACAATTCTGTAAGTGACAAAGACAAGCCATAGCCTGTTTGGAGCCAAAGCCTTCTCCCATCACTTTTCCACTCTTGAACACATGAGGTCCTCAACATAAACTGTAGATCAAACTTAGTGGTCACAATTCTATGACTTGGAAGGTTGGTACCTTTACATGAATGAAAAAGTGACTAAAAGTTGTAACTGTTTTCTGCTGAAGGTTTTTCAGGGTACTGGCAATATTCTAGAGAACTTCTTAACAGTAATGTATATTGCCATCTGACCCAAAAAGAGATCATTAGAATATTAAGCAATTCTAAGTTAGGTTAGTTTCTGAGAACAAGTCCAGTCAGAGCCTAACATGTTATTCTTGCAGTACCACTTGAAGATCCCAGGGTTGGCTGCTGCTACTAACCACTCACTTCCTCACCACTGAACATGTGTGCTTTACTACCATTCCCTGAAGAAGAGATTAAAAAGCTATATCATTTCTTAGTTCAAAACAGTGAAGTCAGAATTCTCATATGGCTTACCTAAGGAGCAAACCTGCTGAGAGGGATAGATGTGCACCTTACCAGGGCCAGCACAGCAGAGAGTGGGTGATGACTCGCTGAAGTTAGCTGTAGAACAAGGCATAGTGTTCTTTGCAGGTCAAGATTCTGTGTTTTGACTACATCCTTAATGCATAATTTTTTAGCATCCAGAACTAAATTAAGGTCTTCCAATACTGTTCATAAGAAGTATTCTGACAGCCAATTTTCCAGCGCATGTTAACTGTTGGAAATTTCATAATGCTTTAATTTTGGTATGCTGAGGGACTATTCTGAATACACTCATGCCCTGAAAACACCAGTGACATAATTCAGTTCAAAACTTTACACTATTTTAAACAATTCACATTTAAATTTTTCAGTAAAGGAGATCAGTTTTTCTATTTCCTACATTGTTTTAAAGCAGTGCAAATGAACTTTAATGAGAATGCCCCACATGAAGAGACTACCTTTTCTGAAAACTAATGGGACCATAAGCTGAATCACTATGGAGGATTAAGAATTCTTAAATAAAACCTAGAGTGAAAAAATTTTCAGTAACCCTTGCACTTGTGAAAGGTAAAAAGTCTCAAAACAGAAGGTGAGTGCTTGGCATTAATTTTTTTTTTTAAATCAAAACTGGATTGCACTGAAAACCTCCTCTCTCACAGGCAGTCTTACTGGAAATAGCTGGGTGGTAAATAATAGATGAGCTTAGAGAGAAAGTGGGAAAAAAATTCACATCTGCAAAATACGAAATTCTAGTTACAGTTTAAGACCTTGGGATTTCTAGGACTTTATTCTTCAGGTTATTTTTCTGTGAAAAACTCAGATTACTGAAATACATACAATATAGTTTATATAGTCTCTAGTTTATTATGTGAAGATTCCTTGAATACTTACACATGAACCAAAAATACCAGTTTATTGGTCCCACTCATACCCAGTCCCCCACAGGCGTGTCACATCAGTATTCCCTCAGGGAATCCCTTCAAAAACTCTAGGCACATGGCTATCGGTAAGGCTGCTGAGGTGTCCTGTATTTACATACTTGGAGGCAGTGTGACACAGCTTTCAACACAGCAGTCTCCTCATTTTAAGTCATCCCACTGAGACACCTTCTCCCACAAATCTTACCACCTGAAGATGAAGACACTAAAGTCACAAAGTCAGGACTAACTAGGATCCAGGTCAGTAGTTCACTCTACCAGCAGCACACATTAGTGTTACTAGTTTTTAAATCTACACTTGTAGGGCCCTATTGTGGGTCAGAAGGTCTGGGGTACAATTCAGGTATATCTTACATCTCATTAAGAGGGGCTCAGATAACTCAGCTGTGTGATTTTCATAGCAAAGGAAGTTGAGTGCTCAGCACTAATAAGAGGTTTACATCATTCTTTCCCCTGCTGTCACTTGTAATAGTTAACATATCATCAGACACAGTTCACTTTTATTTACAATCAGATGAATACTAAACTTTCAGGTGCCTATTCTCTATTTCAGAAGTTCATGCTGGCTGCTGGTGGCCAACTTAGGTATCCCTTTTCCTCCTTTAATGTATTAAACCCCACACTGTGTTTCATGAAATAGAGTATAAGAGAGAGAACTCACCAAAATTCCCCTGTGCCATGACACATGTAGCTCTGGTCTGCCAGATATTGACAAAAATAAAAGAAGAGAGGGCAGCAAATCAGTAGACCAAAATCTTACAGAAGAGATGCCCGGCATAATGACCACACCCATACCACAAGGGAAAACTGGCCCATCTCAATCTATAATTATACTCAGACGAGCATGGACAGTCCCTAACCACATTAAAATGGGAAGCATCAGTCCTTAAAGTCATAATCAGTAGAGGGGAAGAGGTGTATCTCCTTGAAAAATAAAAGTGGCAGTGTATACAACTTGTCCTTTACCAAGGCTAAGTTGAAGAAACCTGAATATCAATGACAAAGGATTTAAACCATTGATTTGGGTGCCAGAAACTGGATTAACAGCTATTCCTTTGGGTTACTCCCTACAACAAAATAAATTTAGAGCTTGATAAAATTAAGTCAAAGGTCTACTTTTTCTTGACAGCTCAGCCAATTCTTCCCTGATGTGCTGTACAGAAACCTCATCTTTTTTCAGCTCTGCTTGCTTCAGTGCTTCCTGGTAGATCTCTTTTGCTTGTGTATATCGTTCTAAAATAACCCAGAGAAAAGGGAGAAGAAAACATGTGTTTTCAAAGTGACTCTGAAGAGAAAGCACTAAGAAGGATACAGATCTAATTTACTATGTGCTTAATGAGTTATAGGAGGGTTCCACCTCATTTCATCCCTCTCTAATGACCTGGCTTAGAGAAGCTAGAACTTGGCTTAAGTGCAAAACTCCAAGACACTGAGTGCTGTGACCTTTTCTGGGTACTCCGGGGTCCTCATTTGATTGGCCAAGGATTTCACAACGGTGCTCCTTGTAATAAGAGACCTTTCACCCCAGGTTTTAAAATTACAGGTGAAGCCCTAAGCAGTATGGCACAGTGTGTTAACACTCAAATACCTGTGAAACTGATAATCTCTATCATTACCAGCTTCACCAACACACTGAGAAATTAATTGTGAACACACTTAGGGATCTACAAAGCACTGCAGAAAACAAGGTACTATCATTGCAAAGTATTCTCTGACTTCATATGGTTCAACAGACTAGTGTAGAAATACGGAAGTTATGTGAATTGAGTACTTCAGCCTAACATACATGCTGCTTCTGCCCGTATTTAACCAGCCTTTTAACTTAGGGGTGTGTTTATTATCTCTTGCCCTCTCTAAACACCATTTCACAAATTTATAAATGCTGTGACATCCCTTCCAAAAGCAAGCCGGTCAAGTCCACTGCTACCCACCTCTGTGTATCAGAATCGCAGCTAGATTACTGAGCACCATGTGCAGCTCGGGATGATTTATCTCTCTTGCCAGATCTGATGCCCTCTGCATATAAATGTAGGCTTCATCAAAGTGGCCCTGTGCATCCAACGTAGTAGCCAGGTCACTCATTAGCACAATGGTCTACAGATAAAAGAAACAGCTTTTTCTTTACAGATATGCCAATGTGGAATGTTAATCTGGAGTTTGTTAAACTGCAAACATACACAAGATTTCATCTTTCCTAGCCTTCCACAAGAGGTCACTATACTAGTTCAACCCTATGGCAAACAATATAAACCCAGAGACAGCAATACGAGAAGCACCAAGTAAAGCAACAGCAAAAGCTACAGTGTGATCCCACTGAAAGTTCAGCAATTTTGAGGAGACCATCTCCTATGGCTTGACTGCCTTTGCAGCCTTACTGTATAACGTTCCTGCTGGAGCCTCATCGAAAAAAGAGTACAGGATCTGCTTAGGGAAGATTCCTATAAAGGGTTTTAAGATTCTGACACTAAGAGATAAGCTTCAATACCTTGTTCCCCACTGAGTCTGTTTTAAGCCCTGATTCTAGTACTTGGGATATGAATGCCAGGCTTGCCTTCTTACTATTTATTCCTCAATGACACTTCATAAAGGTACTCTGTAGTAAGTCCCAAATCTCCTTCCCAAACATTCAACGTTCAGTCCAGTTAAAATTTCTCATGTTGGGTGTTTCAAACATTCATAGACAAAGCAATCCACTCCTTCAAAGAATTTACTTTGAAGTAAAGCAACACAGATGGTTTCAGTTCAGTTCAGAAAGCTGTAATAGTGGTGGCTTAAAAGTGTTGGGTTTTTTGTTTTTTTTAAATAAAGTCTCCTTCACTTCCCCCTTAATTGTGGAGGAAAGGATACACATGTATTAATTTATTTTTTATAAGATTCTAATGGAGCTTCTGCAGACTCCACTCTGAAACACCAAGCTGAATACTCTGAAACCATGGAAACACAGGGTGTCTGGTTAAAACTGCCTTGAAGAAAGGCCTGTCTACTGTGCAAACTGTGACTCAAAAAGTTCTGGGCAGACCCAGTGACTGATCAGAATCTTGTATCTTCCTTGAGATAAGTAGTTGGGGGTCAGGGGACTGAGGGTAAGAAAGTGAGTGAAGTGAGGGTACAAAGACTCCACACAGCTCCACAAGCTAGGAACATCTGCTGACTCTGTTGCCAATGAGTGTAACACTTCACACACAACATTTCTGAAGACTGTTTTATGTTTTCCTTCTTTACCTGTGGGTGTCTTTCTCCTTGTATTTCTTGAGAAATCTGCAGGGCCCTTTCATACATCCTTTGTGCCTGGGATGACTGCTTGGAGAACAGCAGGTAGCGTGCACAGGCATCTAAGCACATGCCCAGAAGGAGGTGTGTGTTGGCTTTCTCTTCAACTAAGAAGGAAATAAAGAGCATTGTAGAGATATGACAAGTACGTTATAGAAGGTGAGGCAGAGTTAACCAAACTACCTCATCATTTTGATTACCAAGACCCACAAAGATTTTAACAGTATGGAACCCACTGAATGCTTTAAGTCACTTAGATACACTCTTATCCTTGCAGTGCAAGGAGACCTTTTAGGTGAATTAACATTCAATTAAATGACATGCCAAACTGGCTGCAATCATGGAACTTTCCCCCACATTTTAAGCAGATTAAGAATCTATAGATCAATTTAAATGTGGAATATTTTAAATTTGAAACTGGTAATATTCAGTAGAAAGAGATAAAGATGAACCCAAAGTAAAATGATTAATAACAAAATGTCTAGGTCCATGAAAAGTCTTTAAGGTATATTTAAAAAAAAAAAAAAGACCAATGAAATTGTAAGAAACCAAAGAACACTGAAAATTCTGAAATGGCTGAAATGGAAAGTTTTCAAATAATAATAAAGGCTGATATGATACAGCACCTTTCAACACATTACAGAATCAATCACACAATATCTGAAAAGCACCATGTTTATGACACCTAATGCCACACAACTAGAGAATACTGTTTTAGAATACAGTAACCAATATCAACATGCACAAGGAAAGACTGCTGTGAACTGACCGAAATAATGAAGGAAAGGTAAGGAGCAAGATTAAATGGAGGCTCTGCAAACAACTCAGCAGCAAGTAAACACTTCATAAGGACTAGAAATAGATAGGCTCAGGTAATTTTATGTAGCAAAACCATGACACCCCTCTGAAGATGACCAGCAAAACTACCATTTCCTTCCATAGCTTCATGGTTTTCAAGAAAATTTACAAATTCTTTGAATTTACAGAATTTAAAGAATAACCCTAGGACCAAATCAAATTAGAAGTGGTTTTAAAGACTGCCTTACAAATTTACTTCCAAAGAAATAAAATTTTTGTAAGTAAAATTTATGGATAACTATAAACCATATTTTAAAAAACCAAGACCACATCTAAATACCACACGTAAAGATAGTTTCTCTACTAAAACAGTATCACCTGGCACAGCACTCTTTGTAAAAAGCCAAACAAAAACAAATTCAAGTGGCAGTTCGATATTAACAATATCATGAGATAAATGAATATACAATGAAGGCAGTAAAAAATGAAAATGATATAAATCTCTAGGCCAAAGTACAAACAAGTCCTTGCAAATCTGTAACAAATTTGAGGAGATTTAGAATATAGCACAGATGCCAAATTCACATTCTGAGAACATGATAGGGTCTCAAGAACTACGTGCCCGTGCTGGTTTTGAACTGTGATTCTCCTGATCTCTGTCTCCCAAGTAGCTAGGATTACAGGCCACTAGCACCTGGTTGTTGTTCTGTTTTTTTGAGACAGGGTCTCACTATATAGCTCAGGCTAGCCTCAAACTCCCTTTGTAGCCCAGTCTAGCATTGACCTCACTTTTACTCCAAATATAAACAAGTGATAATCTTGAATATACTAAGGACATCAGAAAGCAGCATGTATTCCAGGAATCCAAGAATGGTTCAGTATACACAGTGCATCAGCATACGGAATTCCTTTACACAATACAAACCAAAAAGGAATCTGGTAAAGTACTGTAACCATTATATATGTACACATTTATAAAAACAGGAATACAGATGCCCCATTAGTAAGAGTTCTATAGTTTAGGAAAACCTGAGCACAGACTTCTAAAAACACACACACACACACACACACGATTTTTTAATGGAGAAGGAAAGGAGGATCTAACCTACAGTTTTTAGTTCCTATAACATGACATATTCAGGAATCCATCTGCTTCAAAATACTAGAAATGTTAGATAAAAAATACCAAGCATCTTTTTACATGCATGGTGAGCTCCCAAAGACCAGAAAATAGCAGTGAAAATTAGCTAAAACCAGAAGTGGAAAGCATGTAAGCTGATACAGCAAAAGCCCTGTTTGTGTTGGGCATGTGGGGTGGCCTGAGTGTCTCTGTGCTCCAAGAATCTATGCCATGAAATGAATAACCAGCTCTGAAATCCCTGCAGAAAACATATTCCCTGTATACATATTCCCTCATAAACATCTATACAACACTATCGTCTCTGAACATATTGCCAGCATACTAGAGAATATTTATTATGCGCCTTTCTTCCATTTAGAAATGTAGCTCCCAAATGCAGTGGTTCTATTTATCTATAACTGCTGCTCAGTACCTAGTGGAGCAGCCAGCATGTAAAAGGCTCTCAGTATTTTCTCAATGAATGGTTCAATGCATGAACAAACAGAATAAAAAAACATGGGTACGGAACTGAATATGTAAAAAGATATAATGACTGAAAATTAATTGTAATTACAGAATTAAACATTAGCATCCCATGAATCTATGAAAACTCAATAAAGAGAAGTGATTAGAAATTAGAAATAGATGGACTAACAAACAGGCCTGGGCAGTTGCTGTGGAGACGGGGTTGTCCTTATTTCATGCCATATTAAAAACTAAACTCTATAGACTCATGAATGAGGCAAGACAGCCAGGCGCCAGTGGCTCAAGCCTGTAATCCTAGCTGCTCAGAAGGCAGAGATTAGGAGAATGGAAGTTTGAAGCCAGCCTGGGCAAACAGTTGTCAAGACCTTATCTCAACAATACCCAACACAAAACAGGGCTGGAGGAGTGGCTCAAGTGGTAGAGCACCTACCTACCAAGCATGAGGCCCTGAGTTCAAACCCCAGTACCATCAAAAAACAAAAAAGTGAGTCAAGAAGAGCTAGAGACAAGTCTAGAGCCAGAACTCAAGATGGTCAGGCTGCCTACAGTATCAAGGAAAGCCAGTGATTATTGTAAGAACCAATTGAGATCAACACGTTATTTTCATGTGGTCACTGCTGGCCTCTTTTGATGGAGGGACTTTTGAACTTGAACTATTCCTCCCAAAAGAACACCCAATGACAGCACATAAAATACATTTCATAATCAAAATGTACTATCCTAATATAGAGAGAGACACACCAGGAAGATGTTTATAGACATCTGAAAGATTAAGTGTCCCCAGCACTGCAGATCCATACAGTTATATGGATCCAAGGGTTTAAAACTGATGACTCATTAATAAAATGATGTAGCAGAGAACATCAGTGAAGCCTAAGCCCTAGAGAGGAGACCATGGACTAGGCTACATGCTATAAATAATATTTAAATCAACCCAATCATCAAGTGTGCATCACTTCTGTTCTGTCAAGATTCCTTCCCTTTTTTGCTTGTATTTAATGGGCAGTCTCAGAAACATCACAGACACCTTTAGCCCTTCGGTGATTAGTGAATCTTTGTTTTTTTCCTGATTTACTGTTACAAAGCATGCACAAAAGGTAAAAGTATCACCTGGATTGTTGTGACACACTGTTTTTACTAATTTTCCCCATCATGGTTTAAGTACAGATCTGTGAATGAAGGTAGTCAGGGTTGGCTGCATGGATATGAGTGTTTTTATTTTAGGGGGTAGGAGGTTAGTTTTAATTTTAAGGGCTCCTTTCTTCCTGTTCTTTCTTATTTTTTTGACAGGGTCAATCTGTGGCTCAGATTGGTCTCAATTCCTGGCCCTCCCACCTTAGCCCTCCCAATGCTTAGGACTACAGGCTCATGCCATCACACCCAACTCCTTTCTCCCCTTTTCATGATGACATAATGGCACTGGTTAAAACCAGTCAACCAGTTGTTTAGCATAGGGTCTCACATTTATGCCCAGGCCACAGTCCTCCAATTTATGCTTCCTGCATAGCTGGGATGGCAGGCACACACCACCACACCCAAATTTCATTTACTGAGATGGGGGTCTAACTTTTTGCATGGGCTGCCCTTGAACTATGATCCTCCTGATCTCCACATCCCAAGTAGCTAGGATTACTGGTGCCTAAATCTTATGTTTCAATTTTTTTTTTTTGTAATTCTAAAAATAAACTCTAGGTCAATTAAATACTAAATATAAGAAAAGCCAAATAGTTAGAGAATATCTGTCTGGCTCTAGAAGAGTAGGAAATTTTTATCAAAACACAGCACAAACTATAAAGAAAAACTTCAAAAGGTTCTATTAACACCCAAAATTTTGTCTCTGTATGTCAAGTGCTCTAAAATGAAAAGACAAGCCATAAAAAGAGCTACGTAACCCACAAAAACATAAGATACTCAAATATATAAAGAACTCTTACAAGTCATTAGTCATAATAAAATTTTGTCTAAACTTAGTGAGACCCTATCTCAAAAAATAAAAACAAAGGGATCGCGGATCACTCGGGACATGGCTTGGGTGGTAGAGCACCTGCCCAGCAAGCACAAGGCCCTGCATTTAATTCCCAGTACCACAAATAAAATAACAACAGACAAATCAGTAAGGGTATAAAACTTGTGAACAACACTTACTATAAACTAACTCTGACATATATAGAACATTCCACCCAACAAGAGAACACACCATTTGTCTCAAATGCACATGCAATATTCTCTAGGATGAATCATGTAGGAGGCCATAAAACAAGTCTCAATAAATTTAAAAGGACAGAAATCCTACAATGCACATTGTCTAACCACAATGGAATGAAATACAGTAACAGAAGGAAATTTGAGGAATTCAAAAATATTTAGAAAACAATCAACTAATTAATTCTGTCAATTATCCAAAGGGCCAAAAAAAAAAAATCACAAGAAAAATTAGAAAATAATGTGATGTATGAAAATGAAAAGACAACATGCCAAAATTTGTGATATACACATAAAGCTTACAAGGCCTACATTAGAAAAGAAGAAACATCTTGAAGCATCCTACATCAATAACCCAATTTTTCACCTAAGAAACTAAAAAAAAGAGCAAAATAAGCCCAACACAATAGGAATGACATAATAAAGATTACAGTGGAAATAAGTGAAGCAGAAAACAATACAGAACTGCTACAGTTACTTTCAACCACCAGGGGAGCATGA